AACTGTAGCTGCGACTGCGGATGCGGCTGCTCAGCTGCATCAAAGTCCAACTCATAGGCCTGCTCGTGATCATCATGGGCCTGCTCATCGTCATCGTCATCATCAACATCATCATCATCATCGTCAACATCATCGCCATCATCATCATCATCATCATCATGATCATCATCATACTGCGGACTCCTGACTGTCGACTCATAAGTGGAGTCCCGCCTCTAAACAATACGTATAATCGGATAACGTCCATAACTGCTAACCATGACGGGGCCAGACTGCTGACCACTCTGCATCTGAGTGGGGTGTCCCAAACTGTCAGGCATCAGTGGGGCAGACTGATGACCAATCGGTATCGGAGCGGGACGTCCCGAACTGGCAGGCATAAGTGGGTCAGACTGCTGCCCACTATGTATCGGAGTGGGGCATCCCGAACTGCTAGGCATGAGTGGGCCAGACTGCTGGCCACTATGTATCGGAGTGGTGCGTCCCGAACTGCCAGGCATGAGTATGCCCGACTGCTGACCAGTCTGTATCGGAGTAGCGAGATATCTAGAACTATCAGCAAGAGGAGTCTGTACCGTACGAGCATGAAGGAGCATCCGCTGCCTCTGCAACCTAGCGGAAGCATTCACATTCCGAACTTTCGTGTGTCGGGGTCCAGACCCAACAAAGTCCGCAAGATACTCATCAGCCTAAATTCAAAATTTTAAACGAATATTTAGTAAACAAATTTTTTTAATTCATTTATCTTCAAAACTTAAAGTAGACAACTTAATTTACTAATCTAAATTAATTTAAATTATTAATATATTTTTATAATTAATATATACATAATATTTATATATATATTTCTTAATATTTTTTAATTATTAATATAATATATATATATATAAATATATATATTATTTATTCATATTTTTCCCTATTCTTAAATAAATATATATATATTTTAAATATATTTATTATTTTTTAAAATATATATTTAATTATTTACAGTAAATAATATTTTAAATATATATTTAATTATTTAAAATGTATATTTTTATTCATATTTTTTCGTTTTTACAAAAAATATTTACGCAAAAATTTAAATATTTTAATTATTTTTTTTTACAATAAATTATATAGAAAATTTATATAAAACATATATTATTTTTTAAAATTTACATAAAATTTATATTTATTTTCGTTTTTACAACCAAAAAAATATATATTTTATTAAATACGAAAAATTAAATTATATTTTTATATATACTATATATTTTTAATTAAATAAAAA